TAAAAATATAGATCATTAACATTAACACAGAGAGTTTCCCTATACCCCTCCCTATTCAACACTTCCTGTCCAGCCCAGAAGCAACCACTGTTCTGACTTTCTTTCACCACAGATTAGTTTTGCATGGTGAAGAATTTGATGTATATGGAGTCTTACAGTATATACATTTTGTAAGGCTTCTTTCTCTTAGCATAATGTTTCTGGAACTCAGGTTAATGTGTTAAATTCATTCCATTTTATTTCTGAGTAGTAGTGCATTGTATAAGTATATATTATAGTTTGCTTATATATTCACCTATTGATGGGGCACCTAGGCTGTTTACTGTAGGTATTATGAATAAAGATGCTATAAACATTCCTGTATGAAGTCTTTTTACTTTAATTTTTTTTAATTACAAAATAATACAGGTGGTACTTACTTTTCCCATTTTTTTTAGGAATGAATTGTGGGACTTAAACCTTTTCATCCAAAAAGTTTCATTGTTTGAAACTTTTTACCATGGAAAAGTAATTAGAAGAGTACATCACAATTTAGAGACTATTCCCCTGCCCAACACCCAGTTTCAATATTACCCACTCCTGGTCAAACATTTTTTCTTCCATGCCCTTACCTACTGGACCCACCCTCCCATTATTTTAAGGCAAATCCCAACCATTCTACTGTTTTATCTGGAAATATTTAGTATATGTATCTGGAAAAGTAAACTTTTAAAATTAAACATAATGACAGTTCAGTGATAACACCTAAAGAATTAATACATCTTATTATCATCGAAAAATCCAGTCAGTTTTCAATTAACCTGTTGCCTGTCCAGCTTGTTCAAATCGGGCCTCAAATAAGATCCACACATTGCAATTGGTTATGGGGGCTCTCAAATTCTTTTCACCAACCAGTGTATTCACGTAGGGCGCTCGGGCACACCCCATAATTAAGGTTTAATGCTCTTTAGTCGCTGTCTTGAACGTCAATAATTATACCTTTGAATTTGTTTTGTAAATGAAGTACAGTGGGGCGATAGAGCACGTGCTAGGGGCATAGGGTCTCAACTCGCAAACGGGCCCACGTTCTGGGGCCTCCTTACTTTGTAGGGACCAGTCCTAGAGAGCTGAGGGTTCTGCGGTCCTGTCAGCCCATGCCAGCCTCTGCCTCTCCCTCCCCTCTCTCCAAAGCTGGCAGCAGCACCGCGTATTCCGCCAGCGGCTCGATGCCCACCCACATCACACGGTATTGCTCTCGCTGCAGGCTGGGCCAAGAGGACGCTGGAAGGGATGGTCGACCCCACTCCAGGGCTTCTATTAACAAGTAAAAAAAATGTTTAAGGTGGAGAGATAGATTGCAGAAGAAAGAAAATAGCTTAGTATTTTAGTACCTTGAACAGCATCTTTCTCCTGCTGTTGGCAAAAACAAAAACAAACGCACACTGGGGGCCCTGGAAATTACTTCTGCAGCTAGTCCTATCCATAGGTGCTTCCCCTACCCAGTCTCCCTTCCTCCTTTTCTCAATTCACATGTTGTTGAAGAAATTGTCACGCTAATTGCACCCCTGTGGAGTCATTTCACATTTCCCTCTGTCCCCTTATATTTCATATAATTGATAGATGACTTGATTAGATGTATATTTTTAAAAGAATACTTTATAATTTTTAATTTTAAGAATAATTCATGATTTTCAATTTTTTAAAAAACTTTTTTAAAAGATTTTACTTATTTATTTGTAGAGAGAGGGGAAGGGAGGGAGAGAGGGGGAGAAACATTAATGTGTGGTTGCATCTCATGCATCCCCCACTGGGGACCTGGTCCCTGACTGGGAATCAAACCTGTGACCCTTTGGGTCACAGGCTGGCACTTAAGCCACTGAGCCACACCAGCCAGGGCTCATGATTTTTAATTTTAATAGGGCTTTGCAATTTTAAAGAAAGCTTCATAATTTTTAATGCTGTATAATTTTTAAACATAGTAATTTTCTAACCTAGTTACTAGTCATTGCTTTCAAAGTCCTCTTGAAGCCAATGCCTGACAGTCCTGGGATTGCCCAGCCTATCGGAAACCATGGTGGCAGATTGTGATACAGGAACAATCCCTCCTCCACCTGAGAAAACAAAGTTATTGCAAGAAAACACTCAGAATGCACTTCTCGGTTTCTAGGGGTGGTAAACAGAGACGCACCATCCAGATCCCTCTTCAAAGGCTTGCTGCCCAGCAATGGGTGGTGGCCAGCAGCGCCCTCCAGCTGTCAGCAGGGTCCCTTAAGGGAGGTCCTACTTCCCTTAAGTCATGACTCTGGTGTAACACACCTGTTGACTAAGCAACACGGGGGTATTTGGCCCTATGTAGGATACTCTGACAGGCAGTATTTATTCCAGAGCTCCTAGCAGGGCTATGTTCAGTTAGACCAGCAGTTTATTTAACTTCTGCCTAATATTGCTTTCTCCCTCTTCTTTCACAGGACTTGACCCCTAATAAATACCTTGCACTCTAAATTCAATCTCAGTAGCTGCTTCCAGAGAAGCCAGCCTGTGCCACTAAGTGATGTTATCATACGTATTCTACTATTTACTACTATAGGTACACGACTCCAAATATATCCTATTCCTAGCTTCCCACTACACGGTTCCACCTTAATGTCCCATGGCATCTTAAACCGAGTCTTTCCAAAACTGACCCTTTCCCCCAAAAATATGCTCCCTCCTCCTCTCTTCCTCTGACAAATGATACCATTGTTCACTAAGTCTCCATTTTCATAACTGCCTTACCTCCTGTATTACCATTGTTATATTAACAAATTATTCCCAAAACAATAAACATTTATGATCTCACAGATTCTATGGGTTCAGAATTCAAGAGGGTCTGTCTGGGTGGACACTGGAAGAGCAAGGAACACGTTCTGCCCCAGGGCCTCTGGAGGGAACCCAGAGACCTGGATTTTAGTCCAGTGATACTGATTTCAGACCTCTGGCCTCCAAAATTGAAAGAGAATGCATTTCTGATATTTTTGGTTACCAATTTTGTGGTAATTTGTAATAGCAACCATAGGAATTTAATAACCATAGGTGAAGTAAGTATAAAGGTGAAGAAGCAGCACTGGCTGGAGTGGGTCAGTGGATAGAGAGCTGGCCTGTGAACCAAAGGGTTGCAGATTTGATTCCCAGTCAGAGCACCCGCCTGGGTTGCGAGCCAGGTTCCTGGTAGGGGGCGCTCAAAAAGCAACCACACACTGATGTTTCTCTCTCTCTCCTTCCCTTCCCCTCTCTTTAAATATAAATAAGTGAAATCATTAAAAAAAAAAAAAAAAAAAAAGGTGAAGCAGCAGTGAAGAATGCTCTTTCTCAGGGGGTATGTAGAGCTGAGAAGAACTTTTGGTTCAGAATTGCTTCATAAATAAAGGGAATAGAATACAGCTGAGCCTTTTGCCTATAAAAGAGTATAAGGATAAAGTCAGCAAAAATTTATGTATAGTGTTATAAACTTGTACTTTATGACACTATATAAAATGGTGTTAGGAGTTTCTGTATCATTCCTTCTTAATCCAGGAGTGTTTGATTTAAAGCGTGATACACACAATGTGTTACAGAGAACCATGAAATGCCAGCTCAAGAATGTCATCCCAAGAGTTAAAGGGCTAAAATCCTTCATACCTAGTTTCCTACTTTTCCTTCACAGAGCTAGTCTAGCCAAACATAATTTTGAAGACTAATAAAACAAAATATTTGTAAAGTTCCTGGGAAGAAACTGTAAATGCTGGGGTTCTGTGGAGCAAACAGAACTAAATTCTTGCAGGTAAATCTTGGCTCTATGCTCTGCTCACCTCCAGCCCTTGGAATTTGTAAGAAGCCAGGACTACTCCAGGGAAATCAAAAAACAAAAAAAAACACACACATTTTTAACAATCAAGTATTTCTTTAATCAGCAGTGACTTAAAAACAGAGTGGATGAATGTCATGGAAGCCTGCAGCATTCATCTGCCAATAGTCTATATAGACACTATCTTCCCAAAGTACACCAGGTATTCTCAACAACTGGTCAGAATTGGCCAGACTGCCAAATTCTTCCTTTGTTTTTCAATGCCACTCATTTCTGTTAACACATTCTTGAGACTGGTTCCAACATTATTGTACAGTATTCTTAACATTAATTAGCCAGTTTATTGGACTTTCCAAATCTCTTCAACGACCTAAAGAACGTTTTTACGGGTAAGCTGCTTATATAGATAGCATTAAATCAATCAGTACATGTGTTTCCTAGGATTGTCTCTTGCCATTCCCCATCCATCATATATGCCTTAAGTATCCAGTATTACAGAAGTGCTCAAGAGATGGAGGCATTGGCCTTCCTGTGGGTCTGGCCAGAGCTCTCTTTTCCAAGCTTCCGAGCTAGGGCTTTGCTTTTCTCTGTGCAACCATCCATCCCTGGGTCCATTAGCAGCAGCCCCACAACCTAGCTCTTCCCCGATGGCAGTCGTCATTTTGCGGTACTATGGCGCTTACTTACTAGGGATTTAGTAAACTAAATGAACTAATTTATGTAAATGCTTTAACATACGTCTTGCCACAGAGCACTCAATGAGTGCTAATTATAATTAATGCAAAGAGCACAACTCGATTCGCACGGCCTGGAAGACAGGTCAGATGTCACTGCTTTTTCTGCAAATTGTGAATCTATTAAAATTTATGTTGACTGAGGAAAAATGGGCAGAATACAGTGGGCAGAAATGCGATTTTAAGTTTTACCTGCGGGATATTTGTCTGTAGGCCACTGAACTATAAGACGGAGTTAACATTTCCTGCAGCAGGATAATGGCTCTAGTACACTTGCCCTAGAAGAGAACGTCTCCGAAATCTACCACCTCAACCCTAGCACTTCCTCCGCCTCCTTCAGAATTCCTCAGAAGGTAACCGGCGCCTAATAAAATGCAGGTCCGTCGCCTGGCTAGGGTGACGTCATCACCGAGCGCCGGGGTTAGAGGAGGGTATTGGGGGAGGAGATTGCCTCCAAGACCCAATAAGGCCTCTTCCCATGATCCTCTCCTTCTTTTCTCCATACTTCCTCCTCTCCGGCAGCCGCAGCCATGAAGTAAGCAAGACCTTTGCATCCCAATCCTTTTCCATCTGCGGGCAGATCGCCCCTTCGGTGTCCCGCAGATGGCCTCTGTCTGCCATAGATACCCTCCCTAATGGGCTTTCGCTTTTGTTAACAGGGTCGAGCTGTGCAGTTTCAGTGGGTACAAGATCTACCCCGGACACGGGAGGCGCTACGCCAGGACCGACGGGAAGGTGATAGGCCGCGTCGGCTAAATGCGATTTGTGCTCCGAAGAGGAACGACCGGTCTGATTCGGTCTAGGCGGGTTCAATTATCACATCATTCTTGGTCCCTGAAAGGCTTGCTTCAGGAACTCAGAAGCTTCTAAGTGAACTATTGTTAAGTTTTGATTTAGTGTGAGGTCGAAAATGAGTTGTGTAACTTCAGTGCCCCAGTGTGAGGAGAATAGGACATAAAATTTGGCTATTTTATGAACACAAGACCTCTGGAATGCCGGGAGGGACGGGAACTAGATGCCTCCTGGAATTTGACACCCCGCCCTCCCCTGCTCTTAAAAGGCAGGACCGTATACAAAAGATCTTCACGGTGCCACCCAGGTACCTGCCAGTTGTGCGACAAGCCATTTGGTGTCTGTGCTTAACTTGATAAAATGAGAGTATAGAACTATAAGTTAATGTGCCACGGATTTCAAGCTCAGCCTTTTTCTACTTTGTTTATTTGAGTAGGTAACTTCTGTACTTTGAAATTGTTGTGACAGGTTTTCCAATTTCTTAATGCAAAATGCGAGTCGGCATTCCTTTCCAAGAGGAATCCTCGGCAGATAAACTGGACTGTCCTCTACAGAAGAAAGCACAAAAAGGGGCAGTCGGTAAGTAAAATGCACTTCGATGTACTGGGGCTATCTCTGAAGTTTAAACTCTGGTCATCAGTCACTGCTCTCTGTGAAATTCTTCGTAAATGAGAAAGTATGTGAAAGTGCTCTTAAACTGCACATCATCAAACAGTGAAGTGAAAATGATTAACATAAACAGTGTCTCCTCACTGTTTATATCTTATTAGCCTCACATTAAATGCCAAGTTCAAATTTGAAAGCATCCCTTTGTTACAGTGAGGTAAACTACATTAAGCATACTTGGGTTATAGGACACCATGGAAGAGTTAAAGGAGTTTATGGTGTTACAGTGAATGGAAGTTAAGTAATGATTATGGTAATTTGGCTTTGATTATAGTTATAGGATTAGCCGTAACATAGGTATCAGTTTTCCAGCATTGTAGTTTGTTCTCAAGATTGGTTGTGTTTTCTGAGGTGCTCTTTTAGCTTGAAGGATGTTTGGAGAAAAGTTTAAGCGCTGTGGCAGTGGGGTATCCAGGAGCCTTGGAATATTTAGGCTTGTGACACATGCACAAGTCTTGGTGAGGATGTGGAGAAAAATACAACTCTTGTGTGTAAGATGGCACCAGCACTGTGGAAAACAGTTTGACAGTCTCTCAAAGTTAAACAGAATTATTATAAGATCCAGCAATTCCATTCCTAAGTATATACTCAAGAGAATTGTAAGCAAGATCTTAGCACAGGTAACTGGGCACTCACAATAGCCAAAAGACAGAAACCACCCAGATGTCCTATCGGTTAATTTGTGGGTAACAAAATGTGGTATATGCATTACAGTGGGTGATTATTCAGCCTTAGAATGCTGACAGCCAGTCAGCATAGATGAACCTTTGAGACACTATGCAAAGTAAAACAAGCCAAACACAAAAGGACAAATACTGTATGATTCCACTTTTATGAGGTACCTAAAGTAGGCATATTCATAAAGACAAAAAGTAGAGGTTATCAGAGGTGTGGTGGGGGCAAGGAAGAATGGGGAGCTATTATTTAATGGGTGCAGAGCTAGTTTGGGTTGATGAAAAAGTTCTGGAGGTGGATAGTGATGGTTGTTGCAGTAATTGTGGGTGTAGTTAATGTCACTGAATACACTAAAAATGCTTTAAAATGGTTAGTTTAACGTATATTTTACCACAATAAAATTTTTAAGATTTATATATACATACACACACATATATACACAGGTAAATAGTGGTATTTTCTACAATAAGATTTCATCTCAGTAAAAAGTTTAAAGTAAAATGAGTGTTTTAGTTAACCACAAATGTTCCCTGTTCCATATATTTTAAATTTTCTTGGACTTTGAGGTGCACTTCAAGATCTTTTTACTCAAATGTACTGTAGATTTTTAATATACAATCTGCAGCAGATGTTTGAATAGTACTCTTGTCTTGATTCCTGGACATACCCTAACACATGATGGCTTTCCTGTCATGATTTTCTAATTTGATTATTTCTCCCAGTGACAGTAGTATGAGTAAAAACAAAATAGGTGAGTTGAGGTTTGATCATTTTTTCCAAAAGTAGATTTGGTAATAATAAAGTATTAATCACTTTTAAAGTACTGTCCAGTTAACATCCTTAAAGTTTAACTTTTTGTCATAAAAAATGGCCAGGATTTGTGACATGGTTTAACTAATTCATAATAAAAAGGCCAGAGAGAACTCTCCTCTACCCTTTCAATGTGTGATATATAGTTATAGCAGGAGAGTCCTCACTTGATAACGCTGGTACCCTGAATTCTAGCCTCCAGAACTGTGAGAAAGTAATTTCGGTTGTTGATAAGCCATTTAGTCTGGTATTTTGTTGCAGCAGCCCAAATGGACTAGAGCAAATACTAATCTTAAAAGACTTCATTTACCCTATCTCAAAGACTTACTAACTCATTTCTCACCCAGATTCATGAAGCACGGTTCATAGGTGTGCTCCCCATCTTTTTTGTTTTGCAGGAAGAAATTCAGAAGAAGAGAACCCGCCGTGCAGTCAAATTCCAGAGGGCCATCACTGGTGCTTCTCTTGCTGATATAATTGCCAAGAGGAATCAGAAGCCTGAAGTTAGAAAAGCTCAACGAGAACAAGCTATCAGGTAAGGAAACCTTCATTATGAGCATTATTTAGGTTTAATAATCAGAAGTTTATAATGTAGTCTAAATGGTTTGTTGAAACTTCTATATGTAACAAAAGCTTTTATACAGTATATGTTAAACTGGCTTGGTGGTTAATGACATTGACAACCCCTTTGGATTTATCCTAAAAATAATTGGGGGTGGGGAAGGAAACTTTCCCAGACCACTACAGCTCCTTGTTAATAAGCTGTATGCTTAAGGAATAAAGTGCTTTGCCTTATCTTATTTTTAATCCTACAGGGCTGCCAAGGAAGCAAAAAAGGCTAAGCAAGCCTCTAAAAAGACAGCAATGGCTGCTGCTAAGGTAATTGTGGGATTGTCTTGGATTTCTTACTTAAAACAATAGAAAAACTTATAATCCAAATTGTGGTAAATACAAGTTTCAAGTTTTTAAAGAATTTAGTGTAAGGCTCTGATAGAAATGTTCATAACTGGTTTCTGGGTGTTTGGGTGTTGTTTTACTTAAACAGTATTTTGAAATTTTAAATGTACAGAAAGATAGTAGAGTTTACCTGCTTTTCACAATGTTGTCAATTTAGATAACCATAGTTAAAAAAATAATACTGGTCCTAAATGATTAACAAAAATGTCCTTTTTCGTTAAGATAAAATTCAGTGTCTCACATTGGACAGAGGGGTGATTAAAAAGAAGTTGCATGTAATAATACCACATAACGTCTTTTTACAGGCTCCCACAAAGGCAGCACCTAAGCAAAAGATTGTGAAGCCTGTGAAGGTTTCTGCTCCTCGTGTTGGTGGAAAACGCTAAGTTGGCCGACCAGATTTTTAAATAAAGACGTAACAAGTTAAGAATTTAAGAGCTAAAGATTTTATTTATTTTTTAAAGAGAGGAGAAAGAAAGGGAGAGAAACATTGATGTGAGAGATAAGTTGCCTCTTCTACACACCCTGACTGGGTACCAGACCCACAACATAGGCATGCGCCCTGGCTGGGAATTGAACCGGTGACCTTTCGTTTTGCGGAACAGTGTCCAACCAACAGAGCCACACTGGTCAGGCCAAGAGCTAAGCATTTTTTAAAGATAATTTCTCTGGAATACTTCCTCCTAATGTTAAGGTCTCATACTTGGAGAGGTGTTAAAGCCAAACGTATAATTAAATGTTAGCTTTGCTCAACCTAAGGTGCAAGGGCACATTATATAGACTGCACTGCACACTGTCTTATGGTTCTAAGTACTAGGATGCTGTGTAGAGTTAGTAAAGATGCACTTTTTTCTATTGCTTGTGTCTGTAAAAAGTAGACTTTTTATTTTCTTCCATGTTAAGTAGACACATTTTATATTGGGTTTGCCTTTTGTTCACTGGTATGTCACCTCTCACCATTAGCTTGATAACTGAGTTTTAAGCACTTAAAACTATCAGCTCTATTAATCTGTTTTTATTTTCAAAAAAGAAGTTTAAGTGATGAGCACATTTTCAGTAGAATATACTTAGAAATTCCCAAAGCAGTTTGTTGATCTGGGAGTTTGACAGAGCCATAGTTAAAATTGTGGAAATGCCTGAGTAGTCTGCTTATGTTCAGGAGGTATATATGTATAATATGTGATATGGAAAATAATAGTAGTCATAATTGATGGTAAGAATAGTGTTCTACAGAAAGTAGGTCATCTTACCTGTATGTACCACATTGTTCCAAGTTTCAGGGATACAGTGAACAAGTTCATGTCCTCCTGAGAAACATGCTTTTACATAGAGAAATACTATGTGAAGGAAAAACCAGACATCAACACTCCCCCTCCCTCCATTTTATCCAAAGTGATGGAATTGATTATCCTTTCCTGTTGTTTAGGGGCTTTTTTTTTTTTTTTTTTTTTTTTTTTTTTTTTTTTTGGTGTGGGACGTAAAAAATCAATAACAGTCCTTTGGGAGACTTAAACTAAAAAGATGTGTAAAATAAATATAAGAAATATGCAAGATATACTGACTAGCTTTTGCTTAGAAATATTAAGATGTTGCTTGAAAAAAGAAACCTTTTTATTGTAGTATTTTCTTTATGAAAATACAGGGAAAATAAGATTATTTAGCTGTGAATAAGGAAAGCTTAAAAACAAAATAACCAACTTGAATGTTGAGCTATAGATTCTAGTATTTGGCCACAGAATTTAAAAAATCCCCTTGGAGCACTCACTATCTTCTGGTCTAGATGTCTTAATAAACTGAAACTGCCAGTCCTAGTTACCCGTAAATGCTGGGTAGCCTGCAGACCAGAAGGAGCTACAGAAGCTCATGTGTGGATACAGGCCCCACCAGGTTCAGAGACTTGTACAGGATCTCAGGTGACCTCATTAGTCTGCTGGTTTAGCCAGAATTTGCCATCTCAATCATTGTTAAGTGCACAGTTTATTGGTATTGAGTGCATTCACATTGTGGTCCTTCCATCCCCATCATCTATCTCCAGGACTTTGCCACCTTTCCAAACTGTCCCCATTAAACAGTTCCCATACCCCACAGCCCTCACCCAACCCCTAAGACTGTAGGACTTATCTTTTGATTTCTGTCCTGGGAATTTGACTCTGGGGACCGCAGGTATGTGGAACCACACAGTATTTGTTCTGTGTTCTTTTTCATGCCTTATCATTTTCTTTTTTTTTTTTTTTTTTTTTTTTTTTTTAAGATCTTACTGATTTTTAGAAAGGGTAAAAAGAGGGGGAGAGAAACATCAGTCTGTGGTGCCTCTTGTGTGTCCCCTAGCGGGGACCTGGCCTGCAACCAGGGCATGTGCCCTGATTGGGAATTGAATAGGCAACCCTTACGTTTGAGGGCTGGTACTCAATCTACTGAGCCATACTAGTCAGGGCTGTTTTCCATGTTAAATGCTGCCTTTGCTGCTATCTCCCATCATTACCCAGGAGAGCCTATGGGACTGATTCCTGGGTGTAAACCTGCTGGTCAGAGGGTGTAAGTTGCTGACTGCCATGGGCCCTGCAGACTGATGTGCGAGATTGGACTGAGCTCTTCCGCAGCCCCTTAGGGGTGGTTGTTCCCCACCCTTGCCATTGCATCTAGCATTGTGGTTTCAGCCCTCCAAGGGCCTCAACTGTGCTCATCTGGAGGCTGTTGCCTTCTACCCCCTGGCCCTGGGCCCAGGCCCCTTCCTACCCTGTTTCTTTTCCAGACTGAGCCCTCAGAAGCAGTTCACTTTGGAGATTCTGTCAGATGCCTCAGTATCTGACATATACTGACCATTGTGGTTAGATACCTTTTACATGTGGGACAGCCAGCTCATCCTGTGGATGGGATAAAACCTCTTCCAGAGTGGGCTCCTGTCCCCACTCACATGTTCCCTGGGCTGGTCTGCCTTTGCCTCCTGAATGTGGTGAAGACACTGGTAGCCACACACTACAGCAGCAGTGATCTAATGTAAGTGGCAACAATCACCCTTCTAGCACAAGGCTTGTGCAGAATGTGTGCCCCTGGCCTATCATGCCACTTTCGTTTCCCGGAAGGTTTTCACAGCCCTCACCTCAGTGCTCTCAGCCGTATGCTACAAACATGGAAACAGACTCTAGGCCATGGAAGGCCAGGCTCCAGGAGACCTCAGGCTCTGCTGCTGGCATCCAAGTACTGCAGCCCCTGAGGGAGGCACAGCCTACTTGAAAGAGAATGCCCTAGAAGACACCCTGGGTGAAATGACAAGCTTTTGTCATTGGCCAAGTTCCAGAACCCCACAACGCTGAGGACTATGGACAGAGCCAGTTTTATGGCCACTCTGGACTCCTCCAAGGAGAAATGAGACATCTCTGCCTGGGTTTCCTGAAGGCTGTCTGCTGTCATGGGGTGTGGTGGCCAGTGCCTTTGTAGGGTGGTCAGTACAGCTCCCAGGTGCCGTGCTAGGCCTCTGTGCCCCTGTGCAGGAGGAGAGGGGTTGGGGATTGCAAGTCCTTGGAGGCTGACACGGGTGGCCTTATGGCAAGCCCAGAGCTGTGCCCTCACTGCTCAGCTCATTTTCATGGTCAGCAGCACATCATGGGCCTGCATACCAGTTGGCACAGGAAACCATGCCTGCCTCAGCGGACCATTGCCTAGCCCAGGGACCTTCAAGTTCCCAGTTCCAGTTAGCTTGAGGTGATACACTCTCAGAATTAACAACTGAAATTCAAAGTGACTTTACTTTCACCCAAGGAAACTTGGAACTTTTGTTTCCAAATGAGGTAATATATGTGGCTTTGAAGCCACAGAATGTCCCATCATCTGAGACTGTCATTTGTACTATAACTTGTCTCCTTGTTACTGTTTTCATGTGGGTACCAGATGGAGCTTTGGCCAGTGGTTGCATATCCAGACAGTTCTCTTGCACCTGCAGGTCCCTAATCCTCTGGGCTGACTCCCCAAGATCACGTTAGGTGATCAGGGGAAGGGGTCACCCAGATCCCCTCTGGGGCATGGTCTTTTCCCACTCACGCCCTCCCTGTTCCCTTAATCACCTACTGCCTGGCCACTTTCCAGCTGGAGGACCTTGGCTTTCAGCTCTTTGGTAGCATTGTAGTCAACTCCCAGCCTGTAGTCAAGATGTAGGCCTAGGGGAAAAGGTCTGTCTCATCTGGGGCTGATCTCACCTTTCCAGCTTATTTTAACCAAAGAAACTGCTGGGTTTAAACTTTTAAACAAACTGATTTGCCCCTGGGCCTGTGGCCTCAGTTGGAACAGGTTTGATTCCTGGTCAGAGTATATGTGTCTGTATTGGAGGTTTGATCTCAACTCCAGGAGCATACAGAAGGCAACCAATTGATGCTTCTCTCCTGCATCAATGTTTCCTTTTTTCTCTCTTTCAAAGCAATGAGAACATGTCCTTGGGTGAAGATTAAAAAAATAAATAATAAACCGATTCCCTTTCCTCCCTACCAGTGTTCTTCATGTCCCCAGGGAATTGCCTCCTACCTTCACTGTTCCAGTGGGTGGTAACTGCTGAGTGTCAGCCATTAGGCAGGGCAAGGAGTCCTTTCCTGGTTGTAGTCTGGGCCTCTGGAACCTTCTCTGGCTCTTTTTTGACTCACAACCAAACTCTAGCAGGCCCAGGGCAGCCTTTCTTCCCCTTCTGGAGGGGCTTCAGGGGGCCAGAGAAAGTGGAGACAGAATTCGCGGTGCCTACCTGCTGACCTGTGCAGGCCTGTTTGCTTGTGTAGAAAGTTGGGACACTCAGGCCTTGGGGGCCAGCGGGACCTTAATGTCTGAGCCTAAGGCCCACTGCTATTTGCTGTCCATCTCCCACCTGGCTTCCACCAGTTCTTGCTTCATCCTCAGAGCAGTGAGGTGCAGTGACTCCTGTGTGCCACTCATCCCACAGCTGAGGGAACTGAGGCCCAGAGGGATTCAGCAACTTGCCCAATGTCACACAGCACAGTGAGTAGCACAGCCGGTTCTTAAACCAGGCTTTTAATTGCTAGATTCTCCTTACTCTTGAGGCTTGGGACGTAATCAGAGACCAGGACAGCAACTCCCTGAAGAAGAGGAGGAAGATCTCAGGCCCCAGGAGCACTTCAAGGCCCCTCTGGAAAGAAACCACAAGCCTGGCAGTTCAGTTGGGGGTGGAAGCCTCCCTGATGCAACCTGGGAAATGGGAGATCTGGAGCGACCACCCCAACCAGGACCACAACCCCTAGAGATACAGGCGTTTGCTGAGCCCACTGGACCCAACATGCAGCCACCTCGATGCGAGAGAGAGAGAGAGGAACCGGGCTTCTCCAGCCCTCATGGGGCAGTCAGCCCAGATCCACAGAGCGTGCTGAGGGTCCTTCTCTAATGTGAGACTGTTGTGCTGCCTGGGCTGCCCTCAATAAACTACCTGCTCCTAAG